GTTGTTGTGTGTGTGTGTGTGTGTGTGTGTATATATATATATATATATGTATATATATATATATATATATATCGAATACTAGAACACTCGAAAACGCTATATCGAATTCAATATGGGATACCTTGCGCTCGTAGAACCGTTGCAGGACGCATCAAAGATCGACCAAATAACCGGGTCGCCATGGTGATAAAAATATTGTGCTGGCTACAAAAGGAGAGCTGAGAAAAGTCCTTTCGCGTGCTTATGTACGATCAAGTATACGAGACAGAGCGCTTTCGCGTAGACGCGTATGTAGTAGACAGTATTAGGTAAACCGTAGGATGGTATAGTGATAGTGCATGGTACATCTGTAGATACTTGAAGAAAAAAAAGTTGAATTATTTACCTCGTCACCCCCACGGCCTCCACGCGAATGCTATCTAATCCATTGGCTCGGATAAACGGGCCTTCGATAGCCCAAAACCTTTTTTAGGGTCATATGGCTCCAAAATAACTGTATTCTAGGACCACCCGTATGTGCTGTGATTGTGACTTGTGAGACAGTTTGTTTTTCTGACTCTCTGTGCTACAGTATACTGTGTTCAGTGGTCAGGATTCTCAGAAACTTTAGGGCCAGGCCCCGCAGGGCCTTTGTATCCTATTTTTATATAAATATAGAATTAATAGTCCTCTACCCTTGACAGTTTGAGACAGTAGGAACAGTGTCAGGACTCAGGAACTCAGGAAGTGACTAGAGTCTCTTGGTGTCTGGACTCTGGTTGTCTGGTTTTGAGTCTGACCTCCTGGTCCTGGAGTTTGGGCTTCCGGGCCCTAAATTATTTGTATTTATTTGTCGGTAGCGAGAGGGAGACAACATTTTGAAAATTTCAACAAATGTCCCAGCCCTGACCAATCAAATTTTCTTGATGCTATATAAGAACTGGACGTTTCAAAAAAATTGTTCCTCGCAATAGCCAGTTATTGGCGCAATTTTTACACGTTCTCAACAACACGGCTGGCGATACTGACTCCTTCGATCCTGATACGGACAATGAAACTGGAGTAGCAGATGTCAAATTTGACGAGAAAGAAGTTTCTGCTTTGCTGCAAAAGATGCGCAGATCGAAACCAGATGGTGGGATCACCGAGATTGTGAACGATAGCGACACGGCAAGAGACGAAGTGATAAGACTGGCAAAGCAAGCGCTGCAGAAAAACTCAACTAGATATGATTCCAAAGTTGCCGCGCCTATGACCCATATATTCTAGAAGAAAAAGCCCGTTATACACCAACGAACTCTATATATATACACGAACACACACACGCACATGCACACTCACACAAGCACGTGTGCACACACGCACACATGCACACATACACACACCCACACATGTACACACGTACACACGCACACACGCACATATATAGACAAAAATACATATATTTCTAGACACGATGTAAATACAGAAACACACATATATGTATATATATATATATATATATGCGTTTGTGTGTGTGTGTATGTATATATATATATAAATAGATTTATATAGTACCCAACACATGTAAACACACACACATTCATACACATACACACTCTCTCTCACACACTCTCTCTCTCTCACGC